GGGGTGTTCAGAGCAGGTCTGTTGAAATGTCATTTCTGCTGAGACTTGGAACTACCATGAGCTAGACTGTAGTTATGTTGGTCCATGTGGTTCATGTTGGCAGTGGCCCTTGTTCTCCGAGCCTCTTTGTGTATAGAAATACTGCAGCCCTGGAATGGAAGGAAATGATGCTGGTTGTATCTCTGTCCAGAGTACACACATGGGCACTGCTTTTGTTGTACAGTGGGGAGAGACATTAGAAAATTGAGGGTTTGGTTTCTTGAAGTTCTGAATATTGCATTCCAATTTCAGGTTTATGTTATAAAGATTACAAATTGTTTAGGACCTGGTAGAGCAATAGTAGAGTAGAGTGCTTTTAACACGGTGTTACCACTTGCTGCAATGGTGGGATCCAGTGAAGCTCAGTTCCAGGGGACAGAAGGAGTTTCTGATGTGCAGAGATTTCTCAGGTGTGCAATGTGGTAGACAGGTAGATAGGGCACAATCCACATCTTCTGCTCTATGTCATGTAGCAGGAAGCAGATTTTAAATCATTTTTTAGGTTGTTTTGGGATTGAAAGAGATTAATTAGATTAACACTGCATCAGGCATCTTTAAATTTATGCTCAGTTAAGAGAAAGGAGTAATTAAGGCCATAGAGATGGGTTACAGAATAGATTATTAACTTTTACAGTTTTAAATGCTAGTAAAAAGGAAACAACAGCTGTGGGGAGACATTAGGCAATTAAAAAACCCTGCTAAATTAAACCAACCTGTATGCTTTAAAGATACATTGCATTCAGAATAGAAACCAAGATATAATGTTGAATAATGGGGAATAATGTTATAGAGACCACTTCAATTCTTAAAGATTAGCTTCAAACAAAAAGATCTATTGAGAAAAAGAGACAATAGTTCATCAGAGAGCATTACCATTCAATCTGAACTAATTTGTAAGATTAATAGATGTTTTCCTTTTGATTAAATATAATTTCCAACAATAAATCTTCATAAAGTTAGGGTTACGGCAGAGTTCTGTTTTGTCTTTACAAAAGTATGAAAACATTGAACTAAGGAATCTAAAAATCACCAGACAACTGAGGTATCTAAAAAATAATACATCATCCAAATAAAATATCCCCCTTCAAAAGAATAAATTGGCCTAACGGTCACTTACTATAATCGTGTTAAGTGTGTTTTCAAGGTGAAACAAAAAGCCATTTTGTTTCCTCTTTTTAAAAGACAGATTTCTCTGTGTTCCTCCGGCTTTCCTGGAACTCACTTTGTAGAACAGGTGGCCTCTAACTTAGTGAGATATACCTGCCTCTGCTATGAAAGTGCTGGGATTAAAGGCGTGCACCACTACAGCCTGACAAAAATTTATTTTACAGGTGGTGTTGTTTCTTCATTTTAAATGTTGTTTGCTTTATACTTCCTGTTTACTCAGGGAATATTATATCCCTCTGACTTCTCTGATGGAGCTAAAGACTCAATAATTGTAATTATGCATGTTAACAAATTGAAAAAAATGAATTAAAAAATGTATAATGTATATAAGGCTAAGAGGCAGAAACATTATTTAAGGTTAGTAATACCAGTTAGGATAAAAAGTACTTTAGGTACAACACCTTGGGCTTACTAAGATAGGATAGATGATCAAACATTTTCTCTAAATTTACCAAATGCAAATGGATTGGACATTGTTAGTATAATTCTCCCCTGTATATATTATATATAGTTATTGTATTTAGTATATATGGCTTTACTGTGTTAGTTAAAACCTTCACCTTTTAATAAGACAAATAGGGAAATGTGTGATATTTTGATTACATTCTGATAATAAAGCTTGTTTAGCATTACAGCAGAGCTAATCGCTACCTGACCAAAATTTACCATAGAAGTTTGGAGAACTCTGGACAGGTAGGAGTCAGGATTCCTAAGGCAGGCCTAAGAGAATATTTACACTTTAGTAACATGGAGAAACTGAAGAGGTGGTAGTCACAATTTGCTGGATAACTGGCTTCTCTGATCTTTCAGTTTCTCACCCTGCTCTCTGACTCCTGATTTCTTATTGTTAAATGCCAGTTTGATTAATGCTTCAGCAGGGATAGAACTTTCTAAGCCCTTTGAAAATAAAGCACACATACCTGAGATAGAGCCACAAGATTTGTCATTTGCCCTGCTAAATTTTCATCTTTCCTTGTCCCAATCTTCCCTCCGTTTTCCTCATTCCTCTCTTTCATTTATCTTTTATTTATTCTTTCCTCCCACTATTTCTCTCTGTCGCAACCTTCCCACAAATCTCTCTTCTTTGTTTAACTTTAGAAAAGAGCAGGTCTCTCATACATATCAACCAAACATGGTGTCTTAATTAGGGTTTCTGTTGTGATGAAACACGATGACCAAAAGCCAGGATGAGAAGAAAAGGGTTAATTTGGATTATACTGCCATATTGTTGTTCAGTATTAAAGGATGTTAGGAAAGGAACTTAAGAGGGCAGGATTCTTTTTTTTACATAACTTGGATATTTTAGAGGGCAGGATTCTTAATAGATTTTTGTATGTTGAACCATCCTTGCATCTGTGAGATGAAGCTGACTTCATTATGGTAGATGATTTTTTTGATGTGTTCTCGGATTTGATTTGCTAGTATTTTATTGAGTATTTTTGCATCTATGTTCTTCAGTGAGATGGGTCTGGAATTCTCCTTGTTTGAATCTTTGTGTGGTTTGGTATAAGGGTAACTGTAGCTTCATAAAAGGGGTTTGGCAATCTTACTTCTGTTTCTATTATTTGGAACCCTTTGAAAAGTATAGTTATTACTTCTTGGTTCTGACAGAATTCTGAACTGAAACTGTCTTTCCATCGGCTTTTTTTTTTTTTTTTTTTGGTTGGAAGGCTTTTGATGACCTCTTCTCTTTCCTAGCAGCTGATTTGAATTGTTCATCTGGTCTTGATTTAATTTTGGTATTTTATTGACTTCAGCCCTCAACTTGATTATTTCCTATCTTCTACTCCTCCTGGGTGAGTCTGCTTCTTTTTGTTCTAGAGTTTTCAGGTGTGCTGGTAAGTAACTGGTGTGAGTTTTCTCTACTTTCTTTATGTTGGCGCTTAGCGCTATGACCTTTCATCTTAGCACTGCTTTCATAGCGTCCCATAGATTTGGGTATTCTGTCCCATCATTTTTGTTGAATTCTACAAAGTATTTAATTTCTTTCCTTATTTCTTCCTTGACCTAGGGGTGGTTTAATAGAGCACTGTTCAATTTCCATGAGTTTTTAGGCTTTCTATGATGAGTGTTGTTAAATCCTAACTTTAAAACATGGTGATCTGATAAGACACAGGGGGTTATTCCATTTTTTGTGTGTCGAGGTTTGCTTTGTTAACATGTTTGTGGTCCATGTTAGAAAGGTTCTGTGAGGTACTGAGAAGAAGGTATATTCTTTTGTGTTTGGGTGGAATGTTCTGTAGATGTCTGTTGAGTCCATTTATGTCAAGACATCTGTTAGTTGTCTCATTTCTCTGTTAAGTTTCTGTTTGGATGACCTGCCCACTGGGGAGAGTGGAGTGTTGAAGTCTCCTACTATTCTTGTAAAGCAATTTAAGCTTTAGTGATGCTTCTTTTACATGTGTGGGTATTCTTCTATTTGGGGCATAGATGGTCAGGATTGAGCCTTCATCTTGATGGATTGTTCCTGTTACGAGTATCAAGTGTCCTTCTTCATCCATTCTGATTGTCTTTACTTTGATGTCTATTTTGTTCACTATTAGGATACCTATACATGTGTGCTGCTTAGGTCCATTTGATTGGAAAATCTTTTTCCAACACTTTACTCTCTGGCAATGTTTGTCTTTGAGGTTTAAGTGTGTTTCTTTTATAAAGCAAAAGGATGGATCCTGCTTTTGTATCCATTTTCTTAGTCTGTGCCATTTTATAGGTTGAGTCTATTGATATTAAGAGATGTAAATAGTGAGTGATTACTAGTTCCTGGTAGTTTTCATTGGTAGACACCTATTTTTAAGATGACCTGTACCTCAGCTTTTGAGACTTTGTAATAAGCCCAATTTCTACTAAAATGGTGAGATTCATTCTACCTGTCTTGTTCATGTAGTAATGCAGCTGTGTGTTTTATTCACTAGTCCATGGAGGGAGATGTGCTGGCTAACAGCAGCGTTCATAAGGACATTCTTCCTGAATCCATTATTCTCTGTGTATTCAAATTTCCACGAACACTACTCTCTTTAATAATTTTCATTTGCCTGGAATTTGCTCTGAATTTCAGGATAAAACTTGTAAAGCCATGGAGCTATCACCCAGACTTCTGATGGGGGAAAGATCTTGTTTAAGATCTGGTTCCTGCTTTTTTCTCCTGATTGTCTGAAATCCCTGTGACAACCAGATACACTGTACCTTCAGTTCATCTGACCTCAGCATGAAATCCCACAACAAACATTTCCTTTTGTAACGTAAAAATTCTCTTTAGTTGTTAATATTCTGGGCTGCCTTCTACCTGTAGGACAGGAAATCACTACACCCCACCTAGCACAGTTCCCTGTACAAGCTAGCTAGCCACGTTGTGTCCTGCAGGAAAAAGGGCAAGATTCCTATGGCGTGCAGGATTGTGGCAGTGTCTGCTATTGGAGGCTCGGGCAAGTGTTTTTGAAATGCCTGTCTTGGCAGATCTAGAAAAGACTTTTGATGGGAGCAGAAAGGAATGGCCAGGAACCACTGTGCTGTCTCTTTAAGCAAACTATAGCCCTTTGGGAAGGTTCATCCCACTCAATCATCACTAGCCAATCAGGCCCTCCAGTTGACCTGCCAGTCAGAAGTGGTGCCGGTGCTCTTCCGGCAACCCGCCTCCATGTTAGGCTTTCCAGAGGAGCTGGTGCCAGCCCTTTCCTGTGCTGTCGTGCCTTTGCTGCTGCAGGGAGATGATGAACTGAGAGCTATGGCGAGCGGGGGAAGCACAACATGTTGAGCGAGGGAATGCTGTCTCCAGATGGGGAGGAGCAGAGGGTGAGGAGCAGGAGACACTAAGGTGCATTCTCCCTGGATCTGGGTGGGAACCTGCTGCCAGTTTTCCTGTGTTGTGAAGTTCCATGCAGTCCTTGCTAATTCATGGACCTGTGGGCAGGCCTCTGAATAACTCTGCTCTGTGGGCTTAATTTGCTTAGAGAGTTGGGAGCAGGGAGCTGTGTGTACAAACATCTTTCAAGTCAATTTCTGCAGGCATGATACATTCATGGAAAACCATTGGCAAACTTGGAGAAGCCTAGTTTCTCCAGTATCTTGCTGACATTCCTTGGTTTTCATTTAACCTTCGCACATAGTCATCATTAATTTTAAATTTGTGGAGGTCATCAATGGCTTCTTATGTGTTTGTAGCACTCCACTACCGATGCTTAATACATAGGCTAACAAAGTAGAATTTAACTAAAATTCTACTGCATCTAAAACATTCAAAACCTAAGTATTTGTTAATCAGGGCTGTTAGAGGTTAGAATGCTCGTGTACACATTTTTCAACCGGAATGTTCAGACATTTGACTTCAAACCATTTCAAAGAAGCCATTTAAACTTCTTGGCCCTTCCCCATGTCAAAAAACAGGCCGCTAACAAGCTGTTCAAAGAGGCATTAGAGGGTCACAACCAACCTTAAGGCCTGGTGTGCCTTAAAGTTCCCCTTTCTTAGTAAGAAAAGCATAGTTCTGCCAGATGGGCAAAATGACATCAGGTGACAAATATTTGAAAAGCAGAATACTGTTTTGGTAAGGACTGACCTGGTCAATCAAGGCTTTCATTTAGGACCTCAGGCAGGGAGAAAGAACATTCTTGGAAGCCTTCCCTTAGGGCCCGATGTATTGATAATAAAACAGAGCCCCTTATCTGAAACCAGAAATATGTTTGGTAGCGCTGGTAATGGTCTTGCAATAAGCCCTTTGTGGAGAAGTTTCTTTGGGTCCTTAGAAACCAACTCTTCCTAGCATATGGAGCTGTGATTTTCAGTCCCAAAGCCAACTCTGCACGTAGGAAAGTTCTTGAGATACCCTGTGTTCCCTTTGTGTAGAATTGTTTGACTAGCCTCCTCCTAAATTTTTCCCATTGTGTAATAGTTTCTACCGACTTCATAAAATTCTTCCATTTCTTTCCATTTACTCCCTGGAAGTATACGAGATACAGGATGCTTTTCTTCTCTCTTTTTTATGTTGTTTTTGTTTTTTGGGACAGAGTTTCTCTGTAGGACTGACCTGGCTATCCTAGACTGTCTTGACTATTCTAGAACAATCTCTGTAGACCAGGCTTGCTTTAAAGTCACAGAGATTACTTGGTTCTGCCTCCTGAGTCTTGGGATTAAAGGCCTGTGCCACCATTGCCTGGCAAGATACTACTTTTCTTTTTTTTTTTCTTTTTTTCTTTTTTTTGGGGGGGGGGTGGTTCGAGACAGGGTTTCTCTGTGGCTTTGGAGCCTGTCCTGGAACTAGCTCTGTAGACCAGGCTGGTCTTGAACTCACAGAGATCCACCTGCCTCTGCCTCCCGAGTGCTGGGATTAAAGGCGTGCGCCACCATCGCCCAGCTGATACTACTTTTCTTAAGAAGCTTACAAAGCATAGGCCAAATCTTCTCCAAGTCCACCTTAACCTAGCTCCTATCCTTTTTACATTTTACAAGTCCTGTCTTTCTCATTCCCTGTGACCTTCACCTCAGAACGCTGTCAGTGAAGAAGTCCCTGCTGTTTCAAGTCACCCTTGTAGTTAAGAAATTATTCTGTGAATAACTTTGACGTGTAACTCTCCTGTCTGCCTAAATGTCTAGCCTGGCAAGCTGTCTGTTTTTATTTCAGTGGTTCAAGGTGTAACCTGGAGCCTGAACCTAAAGGACACTCAAGGATAATAGCATATGTAAAACTCAAAATCTCTCTTAGTTTGTTCCTCTTTGAGCATTAGCCAGAGATGGATGCATGCCATCATTAAACAGATTTTCCTTTATTAATTTCCTAAGTGAGTGAAGTGGTTTCTCAGTGGAAAGCCATATCAGTTGTAGAACAGCTGCATTTCCATCTTGTTAGAAAAATTGTTTCTGAGACAACTTCTGTTATATTGACTTAGGTGGCCTTGGTCTGTTCCTGTCCAGGGCAATGACCTTGCTGTCCTCCATATTATAGTTTCAAAATTCTTAAATAAATAGATGTTGCCACCTCACAGCTTTAAAATTATGCAATTGAGTCATGTAGTTGACTATCCAATGGAGCCACAGGAAAAAGATTTGTATATAGAGCATTCCTTCTGTCCTCAGACCACAATAGGAGGAATAGATTATTGTGTACCGTGCAGCGGACACAGCATAGGCAATCAGGTGTTGGTGCCACCATTATGAGATAGGACTGGACTGTGGTAGGGGTGTGATTTTGTAATTTCCCAGTATGGTTTATTTTAATTAATGCCATGTTAATGAATACAGAGCAGAGGGTGAGTGGTGAACACTTTGGGAAGGTTATCGTGAGCCAATGAACGTTGAATTTGCAATTAGGAAACAATCCTATGAAGATATGAATGATCTTACTTGGCACAGTTATGTCAGTTCAGAGTTTTGGGAAACAGGCCACTGATTGTAACTCTACTTGTCACATTATATATCTCAGCAGCCAACAAATGCATAGGAGCCACATCAATCTATCTCTTATTAATGATGTCCTCTGCCTTAGCGAAGGGCCTACTCTTTTTCACAGCCAATATGGCAAAGTTTTTATTTAATTAATTTAATTTAATTTAAAGTGTAATATTTTTTATCACTTTCGAAATCACTTATTGGAATCATTTTCAAATATTTCATTTCAGTGTATTGCTGCTCTTATCTCTGTTTGTTTCTGTTCTCCAATGTTCCTAAGTCATTAGTAATTGCATTTCATTTCTCTCACATGGTGTTGACTGTTGATTTTTGTGTAGAGCAGTGTCTCCTATAGTTTAGGCTTGCCTCATGTTAGGTAACTGAGAATCATTTTGAACATGTAATCCTGCCTCTGCTGCCCGGTGCTGGGAAAACAAACTTGCAACTTCTTCCAGGTTTGGCCTTGACTAGCAATGAGAAAGAAAAATAGAACAGTTAATGAGTGTCTGCTGATCTTTCTGGCTTGTATTGGGGACTAAGAAGAAGAGGGACCTGTGCAAGGATTGAGCTCATTGACCAACTTTGAAGCTGTGGAGACACAGTGCAGAAAGGGAGAGGAGAGATGGAGGGTGAGAGCTTTCCTCCTTCAACAGTAGTTGAGATATCCTGTGTGGAATCAGCAGTCCGTTGTAGATGCGGTATGATTATCCTGATTGACCATTGTTTGATGTGCACAGACCATGGCAATCAAGAATCTGGGTAAGTTAAAGGCCTTATTTTAAACCTAATTGCTATATCTATAGTAGCACATTCATAAAATAACTACTATTACTGTGTAACTGTTGTTAACGAAAAGCAGACCATGAATTAGAAAACAATTGGGGTCATGTTAGGGCTTGGAGGGAGCAAAGACAATGTGAATATGATACAGGTTTAATCTCAAAACTCATTTTGAAAAGTTGAAACAGACATTTTGGCCATGTGTTCCAGAGACTAGGGATATTTATTACAGCCCATTAAAGATGTCCTATATATTTTCTCTAAAGATGAAAATCTTAATCCAGAAAAGTAACAGTTCTGTTTGGCAGGACCAAAACATTTTACCCAGATCTTCCATTTTGGATGAGGAACAGAATTTGCTCCAGGAGAGGGGAATAATGTGTACTAAAATACAAAGTAAACTAGGGAACTGTCTTCTGGGCTGGGAGGGCAGAACTGAAAAAAATGTGCTGTCTGAGTCATTTAATCTCTAGTCATTCTGTAGGGGAGCTGCTACTATCCTGAGGCCCAATTAGTTGACCCTAGCCAATTAGGAATTCTGGGAAGGGTTAGCAATCAGGAGTACTAGTGGCAGGTTTGTGGGTTCTTTCCATGTTTCTCTTTTGCCTCTGTTGTAGGAAGACAAAAAGCTATACCATGTTGAATGGAAGGTGTTCAGAACAGGTCTGTTGAACTGTCATTTCTGCTGTGACTTGAATGGAACCTGAGACAGACTGTAGTCATGTTGGTCCATGTGGTTCATGTTGGCAGGGGCCCTTGTTCTCTGAGCCTCCTTTTGTAGAGATTTACAGGGTAAAGGGGGACTCTGGAGCCCTGGAAATGAAGAATATGATGCAGGTTGTATCACTCTCCAGCGTATCCACAGGGGCACTGCTTATGTTGTGCGGTGGGAAGTGAGATTAGAAAACTGAATGTCTAGATTCCAGAAGTTTTGAGTATCTAATTCTAATTTCAGGTTTGTGTTATAAAGGTTTTAAATAGTTTGGTACCTGGTAGGAAAATGTTGATATCAAACTTCTTACAGCAATACATGTTTTGAAGGCTTTTAACGTGATGTTGCTGCTTGCCACAATGATGTACAATACAGTGAAGCTTTGTTCCAGAAGACAAAAGGAATTTCTGATGTGCAGAGACTTCTCAGGTTGCATCGTGTTTGGCAGGTAGATAGGGCACAATCCACATCTCCTCCCATATTCCATGTAGCAGGAATCCATTTTAAATCATTTTATGCTTGTTTTGGGATTGAGCATCAGTGGGGCCGCCTTTCCCAGAAACCAGAAGAAAGCATGGTGGGCAGGAGAGCCATTGAGAGAAATCTCCTCCATTTGAAAGACAGCATGTATAACATGAGGCTTCTTTTTATGAAGACATCAGTAACGTGGGGGGTCAGAAATAACAGTTTAAGGATCACTTTGGAAAACCTTTGTGAAAGTTGTGAAGTTTGTGATTATTTAATTTCTGTTCACTTATTATCAAAGGCAGCTGGGTAACATTGGTCAAGTACACATTTTTCCTTACCTAAGTTTTCCTTGGTCTTTTGATTTAAACTTGACAATATTTCACTGCTTTTGTTCCTTGTTTTTCTCCAACCCTATTATTGATGTGCATGTGTGGAAAGTAAAGAAGTCATA